TATGGTTTCAGAATGTGATATTTGAGCTTTTGTGTCTGATGTAGTTCACTTAACATTATGTTCTCAAATTGCATCCTTTTACCTAGGAATGCCTCAAGTTTTTCTTTATGGCAGTGTAGTATCCATTGTATGTAATTGCCACATTTTTTTATCCATTCATCTGTTGATGGACATATAAGCTGTTTCCAAGATCTAGCTATTCTCAATTGTGTTGCTATAAACATGGATATGCGTGTATCCCTATAATATGATGATTTTAACTCTTTTGGGAAGATACCTAGGAGTGGGATAGCTGGGTCAAATGGAATTTCTACTTTTAGTTTTTTGAGAAATCTCCACACTGATTTCCATAATGGTCATACTAGTTTACATTCCCACCACCAACAGTACAAATCACAGTGACACGGGTATAATTTAACACTATTTTGATTGCCACACATATTGGTGACTGCAACATTTTATTTACTTTTTATTATCAGTTCATGTCTTCTCTGTCAAAATAAGTGAAAATGGATTTTGAACACTTCAAGTATAGTAGACTGTGGATTACTTTGCTGTGGAATTAGACACCAAAGCATTGTGTTTATTATGCAGTGATGTTATATCTGCTAATATACTTAAATAAAATTTAGGTAATCATAGCTGATGGTTTGAAGATTAAAAAAAGTGTTGTATAAGCTCTGAAAATGTGTTATTAGCCATAATAATTATTATCCTTAATTTAGGCTTTTGGATCTTTAGATACGATTAAATTTTTAAAAATTGTCCAGTTGGACTGGGGATGTGTAACTTAGTGGTATAGGGCTTGGGTAACATGATCAGGGCCTTGTGTTTGATCCCTGGCATAGCAAGAAAAAAGGTCAGTTAACTCATGTAGATAATAAAATTTGTAAATTTTTGAAGTCTTACAGAAGGATATACATAAAGATCAAAATTGTCCTTCCTTTTGTAAACATCCCCTTTACAACTTTCCAGAGTTATTTCATGAAAAAATTTATCTTTCCTGAGTGTATGTCTAATCATATGTATATTACATATATAACATATATAATCATGTATGTACATGTGTATACATTTTTATATAAATGAGGGTTATTCTGTGCATATTTTCTTGTACCATTTTAGATTTTAATAAAATAGATAATTTCGCATTACATAGAGTTCATCAACTCAATAAAATTTTAGAAATAATTTTTATAAAAAGTTTAGTATTTGTTTGGGAATTAATCTATTATAACATGACTTCTGCAGGTACAGAATTCTCATCTTCATCCCTCCTTTTTTAAATTTTGTGAAATTTTTAAAAAATGCAGAAAAGTACAAAAATGATAAGATATTCATACACCACAATCCAGAGTTAGTATTTTCATGTATTTACCTTCAGTTTTTAAGATAAGTAGATATTTATATAAAAAGCTGAAGCCCCCTCCTCACCCTACCTCCCATTCTCATTCTCTTTCCTTCTCCACTCTTTATAGGCCAACACCATCAAGAGTTTGGTCTGTACCCTTCCAATTAATTTGAAAAACATTTGGATACTGTATGTGCTTCCATTACCAACATACTGTAAAATATTGAGCTTCATGAAGGAAGCTTTAACTCATTAAACTCATTTAACTCACACAGAAAGTCATTGTATTGTATGACTCATTCTGCAATTTTTTTCCCCTCTCAACATTTTTTACATATTTCCATTAACATGTGGCTCTCACCTGTTGGATTTTTATAGATGTGTGTATGATATTCCATCATAAGAACTTTCCATTTGGATATTTTCCATTGGATATTTAAATTGTCTCTAATATCTGGCTAATATAAATCAAGTCACAGGGAAGATCTTAGTATTTCCTAAGAATATATACAAGTGAAACTAATACGTATTTTTAGGTTTGTTACAAGGATTGTTTTCTTACTCCCAGTGTCGTAATTTTGTTTTCAGTCCCTGTGGGTTTTACCTTTCTGTGTAATTCATGGCCCATTCTCCCTCTTCTGAGGAAAAATTACCTCCAAGTAATTTTTGAAAGTCTTATTATTGCCTCATCTTATAATGCTGTCTCTTTCATATTCACAATTTGAATAAATGCATAAGTCTTTTTAGAATCTCTTCTGCTCTGGTGAGTCACTATCACAAAGCTTATTATTTGTAGATGATCATATAGGTTTTTGTTTCTTCCTTTTTTTTTGAGACAGGGTCTTGCTATGTAGTTCAGACTGGCCTTGAACTCACTATGGAGCCCAGGCTGGCCTCGAACTGGCAGCGATCCTCCTGCCTCATCCCAGTGCTGGGATTACAGGTGTGTGCCACCATGCCTGGCTTGTTTCTTCCTTCCTCATACTTACACCTTATTTTTCTTATATGGTGAAGACCTCCAGAGTTATGCTGAGTGCAGTGACAGGCCTCTATTTTCTGTTCCCAATTTTAGGGAAATGCATTTAGAGTTACAGTGTTCTCTTTGCTGTAGTTTTTTTTGTTGAGCACAGCCTTTTCATCACACCAATGTCTTTTTCTTCAGTATGAACTGTTAGTGGCCTGTAAGTTTTAGCATTTGTTAAAGTTCACTTCAGTTGTGGTACTTTGCTTCAAAATATTTCTGTGATG